ACCGTAGGACCGGTATACCATGTGCATGGTATACTGGTACCTATACGGTGTCGTTCCAAGCGTAAGAAACATGAAGATCAACGGTCTCGCCAATCGCTCAGACCTAACTATTTCCAAATTAACAAACAGCTTTTACTATTTTCAAGGAGATAGCCTCTCTCTTCGCCCATAATCGCATCTGCCGCCACCAAAAGGAATGCGCCGCCGTTCATGGAGAAGCTACTCGGCTCATATCAGGGAGCCTCTGTCCATGGAAAAGAAGTGGTTGGGTACTAATTTTTACTAATCAGTGCTGCAATATGTCCATAGCCATGTGCAAGGTAGAGGAGATGGTTAATTTTGTTTACCCGCCGCCGCTTGCCGCCGCTTGCACTGACGGCTTAATTGCCTCTCTTTCTCTTTTCTAGCCGCAACAAGTCCTTTGTTTTAGCTAGCAGATTTCTCTGAAGAATTTTACGATCAAATAGTCCATTGAAACGATCATCTCATCAACTCATCATCAATGGATGGAAACTACTCCAAAAATCATTTGGCAAAACAATGGGTCATCCATTTTACAGGCAAACTTTAACGTGGAAGGGATGAGAATGAACTTCTTTAAATTCTGGCAAAACCCTCACTTTAATCTAATCACAAAATTTATTTTAACTTATCTAGTTACATATCATAATACATGGAGTCACATCATTTTTATGCACGATTAACATTTTTGTATTCGTGAGTTATATTTAAACTTGTTTCAGCAAGTTACACTTTACATACACATGAGTTACATTTTTTATAAATGAAAGTTACATTTGCTATAACGCAAGTTACATCACAAAATAAACTCTTCTATTGACACAAAAAACAATAATTTTCTTAAACTCTTCTGTCAAATAGGCCCTCGTAGTATATTCAAATACTCAATTAAGCCCTCCAACTTAGAAAACACTCAATTAAGACTTTGAACTTTGAAAAAACATTCAAAAGCATAATCTAGTAGGTAACTCTCCAGTATTCCAGTTGCCATGCTTACGTGGATTATTTTTTATTTTTTCATTTTCTGTCTTTCTTTATCTTTCTTTTCTCTCTCTCTCTTCCTTTCTTCTCCGGCCTACCTTTGTTCTCTAGTTAGTCCTGCCCGTCATTCTCCACCCTCTTGTTTCTTCTTCCTCCCTCCAGATATCTTCTTTTTTGTTTCTTATCAGCTAGAGCTAGATAGACATAATACTACCTTCGTTCTTAAATAAATACAAAATTTTGACTTTTACACTATTCACATGTTCTACTTTGACTACGTTCCATTTATTAATGTAATAGTATTTTTTATGAAAAAAATATTGTTAAATTTGTCTCATTGTAAATTTTCATAATCTAATTTTTTTGATTTTTTTACTAATACAAAATCATATATATTAATGGTCAAAGTTGTGTCTCGACAAGTGTGAAATGTTGACCGTTGCATTTATTTAAGTACGGAGTAAGTAATGCTACCTCCGTCCCAAATTGAGTTGCACATTTGACTTTTCTTAGTCAAACAGTCTCGTTTTGTTCACTTCGTTAGGATGCCGATTTTTAATTATATTGTAATTTGGAGTTTACAACTTTGAAAAGATTTTAATGTAGTTTTTGAATATGTAAATTTTAATTATTAGAAATTGAATTAGTTATTCATAGGGAGGGTTGACTTTAATTATTGGTTGACCAAAAAATGTTGAATTTGGAAAACAAATTGGGACAGAGTGAGTACATATCATAGCCTCCCTTGGGTCTCTCTAATGAATTCATCTCCTTTGCCGACCGCCGGCGATTTCACTACCTTATTTGCATTGCAGTCGCCGACAAGCTATGTTGAAGACAAAGTCGTCGGAGAGCTCTGTTGAAATGAAGTCGCTACGGCACTGCCCCGTCGCCGGCGTTTGATTTCACTTGCACGAGGTCATTGGTTGCCGCCATCTTTGGCCGGCGTTCGAGCTAATATGTCGCTGCAATCCATGGTCTCCTTCCCAAGCTCAATCGCGTCGCTAGGATTTCACTTGCACGGTGTGGCAGAGGAAGACGCGCGTGGGAGTCAGTTGAAAAAGGGGAGAATGCAAGAAAAGCAAAAGATGTCTGGGACGGGGAGAAATTAAGAGTTTTGCTTTTTGTACCCACATCAGTACACACATCTATATCCACTAGATATACATATACCTAAAAAATGGGAAAAGGTGTAAATAGGCCTATGTACTAACCAAAAAATGTCAAATAAGCCATTATTTAGGAAGTTCTGTACGGCCGTCGTAATTTGGGTGGTTCCCGGTGGAATTTTTTTATGAAATTTTTTGAACATCTTATTCATCAAGTCTAGTTTGCTCATACCAAATTTCAGCTAAAACTTCAATCGGGAAGGCATTCAAATGAAGTTTTAGCATCTAATTCTAGTCACAGTCTTTTTCCCGTGACTAAGCGTAGTCATGGATTAGTCACGGACACGGTCCGTGACTAATTTGTGACCGGAATAACCACGCCGGCAAGTTAGTCACGGCCGTTATCCACAATTTGTTATGTTTAATATTTTTACTAACTCATAAACATTATCAACAATTTGTTATGTTAAATATTTTCACTAATTCTGACGTAGGAGCATTAATATATTCAATTTTACTAAAGTTCAATGCACTACAATTACAGAACGTTCAATTAATATTATTAATTAACTAGAACTACTAATACATTAATGACATTAATCATTTAAATTATTAACTAATATTAGTTAATAATCAATACATTAACACTAAATAATCAATATTAGGGTTGTAACACTAAATACACTTCATTATTACGTTAATGACAGTAATTCATAAGCATTAACAATAATTTGATATGTTTAGGAACATTTATTTATTTATTAAATTTCACTAAATTTCACTACATTAACTAACGTCCAATGAATATTATTAAACTACAACAATACGTTAATGACATTAATTCACAATACAAAAATTTTCAAAATCTAATTAATAATACACAATAAACAATTTACTAAATTAAATGAAATTCATGCACAATACTAAAATTATCAAAATCTAATTAATAGTACACAATAAACAATTCTAAACTAAATGAACTTCAAATAATTCACAATAACAATTCACAAAATCTAAGTAATGTTTTAATCAAAACTTAACCCATTACAAATCCTAATTTAGGCATTAACACTAATGGCTAATAATAAAATCTAATAATTTGAGCATATATATACCCATTGAATTAACTAATACTTAAATTTAACTAATATTATAAAAATGTTAAGTAATTTAACATGCACTACATTTAAATTAATCCTAAGTTTAACTAATTTTAACCAATTCATTTCGTTAATTAATTACCAACCTTTTTTTATACATTTCAATTAACTAATATTTAAATTTAACTAATATTATCAAAAGCTACACTAACTTAACTAATTAATTTAACTTAATTAGTTAAAACCTACGTTTAACTAACTAATTTTACTTAATTTAACTTAATGCATCACTACGTTTAAACTTATGTCTAGCTAATTAATTTTACTTAATTTAACTTAATGCATCACTACGTTTAAAACTACGCTTAGCTAACTAATTTTAATTAAATTATTTTATAAACCTAAAAATTTAACTACTTTTATGACATCACAAGTAGTGATTCACTACGTTTATAGTTAAATATACTGTTAGTCAATTGAAGGTTATATAAAGACAGGCTGTATCAACGGGAATGGGCATGGCTGAGCTAATAAACTTCTTTTTCCTTATTCCTTCTTGCTGCTACTTCCATTTCTTTTTGTTTGTTATGAATGTATTTCCCTCTTCTTGCTACGTTCATAACACTTTGCCCCTACTGGTTTGAATTGATCTGTTTAGTTTTTGAGTTGCATGTTATGATCTGGTTGGGTAACTTTAATATCATGTGTATGAGTGTATCTTACTAAAATATAAGTTTGAAATAATATGTTCAAACTTATTATATTCTTAGACGGTCTGGTATGTGTGTAAGTATGTTTAAGATGGTCAAGATTAATTTGGTGCAGTCATGCAAATCTTTAATTCGGTTTAATTTGCCGTATTCAAAAGAATTAAATTTAAAATATATGTTAATTGAGAAAATAAAGAAAGAATTATATTATATAAATATACGAGTAGTTAAAATGATATCTACACCGTAACTTTATGGTCAGTCAAACATCGTAAATCGCGTGGGAACCTTTAAGTGGGCCAGAGGGAGTACATGATTTAGTGTGCATGAAAAATTTCACGTTTACTAAAATAAGTTGATGGATAAAACTAATAAGCTCAAGATAGGGATTACCAAACATGATCTCATTTTATTTTATTGTTTACACATATATTATACATATAAAAGGAAGTAGGATAATGTACAATGCCTTCTCTTCAATCTCTTGCCTAGATATTCTATTTTGAAAATCTGCCTATATATTCTTGAAAATTGTAGCTTGGTAAGGATTTTCAGAATTTATCAAGAAAAACAAATGGTATTGGCATATATGTGTTTGTTACACGTCTAATTTTTCATAAACATAATAATGGCATATACATAAAGAAATCAATTTAAGACATGAGTTTGGGATTAATTTATTGCATTAAAAGAGTTGCAACCTGCATGTGAAAAAAACAAACATAGGTGCAAGAATAAAATTATACTCAGACAATGTAAAAACATGATAGTGCAACGTGAAGTATTTATTTCGGTTGTCATCACAAAGTTTAATAGAATCATTTATTTTATTGATGTACATAAATTATCATTATAGATGTTTTGAAATACTGCTTTATATGGGTCATGTTATGACTTTATTATTGATGGTGGACACACAATGACCCTCACCAATGCTCACATCTTACCATAGAACCAACGATTCGATTCCGAACCGGGAACACCTCTGGGAAAAATCTGCCCCTCAGATCAAAATAATAACTAACGTGTAAATAAATCACATGAAATTCTGAAAAATAATTTGCAACAAAATTTCAACTCAGCACTCTAAAAATGGCCACACACAAACAAATGGGCTTGGTGGCCCGGCCTGGTTCATACAAAATCCATTCTTAAGTACCAAAGAATTGATCCATGGTGATCAGAGAGGAAACAAATGTACAAGAGAAAACGCTAAATAGTGGCCGGAGATCTCAAACCTGCATAGAGGGCAAGTATTCTGAGAGTATATAAGGTAATCTTTTTGTTCTGAAACCTGGAACCAGCTCGCAATGCAATTCGCATGGAATATGTGCTGACATGGCAGCAGCATTGCTGCTGCTGCCTTGTGACTATGCTCCTTCTCGGGGTCAGGGAGAAGCTCATCCAGACATTGGAGGCGAATCACGAGGCACTGCGCTTCGTACTTGCCCAAACAAATCGCACATGTTTTTTCTTGGCCTAATTTTGCGAAGAGACCGTAGCCATCGGGCACAATCCTGGGCAAAGGCATTGGAGATGACCGCTTATAATCACGCAAATCAGGCTCCAGTTGGTCAAGGCAATCTAGAAACCAGTTCCAGGCCTTCACTCCCAAAGTTGCAGAGAGCTGAAAAGATACACCCAGGCTAATGGAGTACAGCTTCGAGGTAGAGTTGTGATTGATGAGAGGAATAAGCCGATCACGACATCCCCTAATCAAAACACTTGCGAAGTGCCTGAGCCCTTCTGGGAAGACAAGGTGATGGAAGGGGGAGAGTAGTTTATCAGTAAATAAAGTCATAAGTTCTTCTTCGTCTTGGAGGATCTTCTCCAAGTCAATAATAGTCTGCGCACATTCACCGCTCACGTCAACAAACTCCTCAACCCTATACAGAACTTCCTTGTTGCTGCCGCATTCTTCACTGTCCAGCCACCATGTTTTAGCATACGAAGCATCCCCTTCTTCCAGATATATCCTCACCACAGACCTTTGAAGATCAGGATCATCTTCTGTATCTACGTCCACACACCACCGCATATCACAAAAGTTGTCCCCCATTGCTGGCCAAACCGGAGTATAACTATTTACGGAGTATATAAAATAAGATTGATCGATCGAATTAACGAAGCGCAGTGGTGTGTATATTTATCGAAGCCGGCCCTGGATCACGATAGCACAAATCCTTAAGATTCCCAATTTATGTATAATAATAGAATCAGCCGACGGGGTGAGTATGTAGCTAGTTCAGGAAGTGGCAGGCGAATGGGATCTCCGTCTCTGGTTCTTCGGCTCTGGCTCGCGCTGCAGATGCAACCTAGGTCTGATTATTAAGAACAAATCCGGAGTCTTCCGGCTCCTCGTTTTCACTTTGTCTCTTAGGATTACGATTTTTTTCTGGAGAGAAGCCCTCATATGTTGTTGCCCGCGGTGGCCGGTGAGTGAGTGTAGCCCATTAGCAATTTTTTAGGAAATTGCCTAAAACTTTAGGAAAGTGCAAGTATTGGTGATCATGTCTTAATTTTCGATTATCCAAATTTAAAAGTTATTGAACTCTCATTTAGTATTATTTAGGGAGAAAAAAATTGTACTTTAGGAAAGTGCTAAAAATGATATTGCTAGAGGTATAACTTCAATGTTGTTCTAAAAAATGATAGACAATTTTTGTCCCTAAAATTACACCACAGATAAAAATTCAATTTTATAGGCAATACATGTTCGGAGCAGATACAAATTGTTTCCCAAATGGCCAAAAAACTGTACGAAGTATCATTTTTAGTACCGCCTCAACCTTTTCTGCCAATTCAAAATAACTATTCTCACTATCAGTGCCACACAATGTAATTTTAAAATGTGTATAAAAATTAGACTATTTTCGGCACTCTAGCCTCAAAAGATTTTTTGGAGTGCAGGCATTTATTATCTATAAAATTGATTTTTTTTGGATCAAAACTTTTTTCAATTCGTGGCCTAACATTGTAAGGCAAAAATTGTTAGTGCAAAGTGTAACATTATTTTGAAATATTTGAATCAATCAAATAATAATGTCCCATAAGTGTGGTGCAATGATGGCGGATATTGTAACGGTTTCCGTTACAAGAGCCACCTTGATGGTAGGTGGCTATATAAGTGCTCCATGGTCCTCCCACTCCTCCTATCACAACATACATTCACATGTATGCTTAGCTCCATATCCGAATAGGCTCTAAGCAATATACACCATCTAGAGTGAGGAGTGAAGTGGGAGACGAAAAGGATTTCCGGTGTTCTTCCACGTTCTTCGACCGTTCATCAACAATATGGCTGGAGGTTAGCGATCCTATTATTTCCGCTGCGTTGTTATGATTTTAGGCTAACATTTGGTATCAGAGCCTGTTTAATCTCTGCCTATTTGTTGTATGAACATCATGAATTTTATATGAACATTCGGTATATACATGTTCATATATGTGTTCATCACATCACACACATATATGTTTTGTTCGTATATATTATATATAAATATATATGTGTATATGTTTAACATGATTTCCATGTCATATGCATGAATTGAACCATATGTGTGTGCTCATGTATATTCGTATGTGTTCATATGGAAGCATGGATTTTTGTGTGTGTTCGTATGACATATGTATGTATATTTGTGTCATATAATTTTATGTATGATTTTATATATAATCGTATGTCCTATAATCATACATATATGTTGTCCGAAAATTATATAATAATTGTTCGGAAATCATATGAGTTTATGAATTTGAATTGTTATATGTATATATATATATATATATATATATATTTAATTTTGAGAGATACATGCATATGATTTTCTCAAGTTCATATGTTAACCTTTTAAATTCCTATCATTATGTTTGATGGAATGGTTATGGTGACATTTAATTCTTGAATTTAAGTGTTTTAAATTTATGAAATATATATATATATGCATGTATATGAACCGTGTGTATATACATGTGCTTCGCAATGTTTTGTGATTCTTCTATCCGTTTATAATTCGGAAAATATTAAAACGGATGGCTAATTAATAATTTTTGATATATTTTACATACATACATATGGCGTTTCTACATGTATATATGAAATTGAACATGTAGTATTTTGTATCTATGATTGGTATTTGTATGTGTGGAGGAGATGCTATCGGATATGGTGGCCGCCTGTTGATGTAGCACCATAGGGTGCTACGGCGATAGTGCATGAGAGTTTTGATGCGCCTTCATAAGGAACGCCATGACTCTTTTTTATGTTTTCTGAATTTCTCCATGAAGTTATAGAATAAGTTTTGGACTTATTACTATATTTGGGATCCACTTTGAATGAATTCAATTGTGCTATTTTAATTTGGATAAATTAATTTGGATTTTGGAACAATTTAATTCTTTTTCCAGCACATTTATTTTAATTATTACGTGATGCATTGATTTTAATTTTTATGCATTGCATTGAAACTGTGCACTATATTAATGCCTTTAATGCGTAATATTGAAGTATTTAGTGCATAACGTATAATTAATATCTTTGATGCGTAACGTATTATTAATGCCTTCAAATGCGTAACGTCTTAAATTAATGCCTTGAATGCATAACGTCGGGAATCAATGCACATATTATTCCCGTTAAAGTTGAACTTATGCATAATTGTAATTGACATAGTGCCTAAAATTTAAGCACATTAAGTAAATAAAGTTCTCATTCCGTTACCTTTAAAGTTTTTCCCATGAATAAATTATTTGTGGTAGTACCCAAACAACAATTAACGTGAGAGGTTTAATCGGGGAAATTCTTGGGAAGTACAAACTAGTTACGCTTCAATTTTGATACTAGTTTTCCTTGAATTGTTAATTTGTCTAAAGAATTATTTTTTAATAAATCCTAGCCCCGTCCGACTATCCTGGGAGCATATTTGGGGATTGTCCATCACGAATGTTGTTTTAAGCTTTAAAGGATTGCCTTTGTGATAATATAATTTTATTAATTTTGGAGTAGCCACAGCATCCTTAATTAATTAAAATTATATATTAAGAAGCCTTTGGCGAAAATCACACTAAAGTTAGGCATAAAATTTATAATTAATTATACGCAATATGACACAATTTATCCCACAGGAAATTTGTTGTATTTTGTATGATTAATTAGGATAAAATATCGGACTATGGTCATAATTTATCCCACAGGAAATTATGATTCGGAATATAGTTTGATATGTTTATCGGTATGGGTACAAAATTATTTAAGACTCATGCATAAGAATTTAGCCCACAGGCAATTTTTATGGCGGTTGAGTCATCATGGTGCATTATTTACATTGGTAATTCATGCAATTCATTTATATATGTACCTCAAAACTAACACAAGCTATATATGGACCTTTTCAGCTTCTCAACCCATTACTCATTCCGAATTTTCGTTAGGCCTTGAAATTCCCGAACTAACTGGTGACAACTATAAGGTTTGGAGAGAAAGAGTTCTCCTACACTTAGGTTGCATGGACATTGATTATGCTATTAGGAAGGATGAACCGCCCGCCATTAATGCACAAAGTACTCCGGCTAAAATTGCGCTATATGAGCGATGGAAGAGATCCAATCGGCTCAGCGTAATGTTTATAAAAACTAAAATTTCAGCTGGAATTCGTGGCTCGGTTGATCAGCATAAGAATGTCAATGACTTGCTTAAGGCTATTGATGATCAATTTGTCACTTCGGAAAAGGCCTTAGCAAGTACCTTAATCATGAAATTCTCCTCACTCCGTCTCACAACCGTTAAGGGTGTGCGAGAGCACATCATGAAGATGCGGGACATAGCGGCTCAATTGCAAAATTTGGAGGTAACAATGTCGGAGGCGTTCTTGGTGCACTTCATTCTGAATACCCTTCCTCACCACTATGGGCCATTTAAAATCTCTTATAACACACATAAGGATAAGTGGTCAATTAATGAACTAATGACCATGTGTGTGCAAGAAGAAGAAAGGCTCATAATGGAGTTGGGTGAAAGTGTCATGCTAGCTACAACCTTAGCCAAGAACAAATTTGACAAGTCTCGTACAACCACCTCTAAAGCTAAGGGTAAAGGTAAAATACCACCCAAGGCTGACATTAAGAAGGTACATAAGTGTTATTTCTGTAAAAAGAAAGGACACATGAAGAAAGATTGTGCCAAGTTCAAGAAGTGGTTGGAGAATAAAGGTATTTTATCCTCCTTTGTTTGTCATGAATCCAATATGTGTGATGTTAACACTAATTCATGGTGGATTGATTCTGGTTCTACAATCCACGTTGCAAACTCTTTACAGGGTATGCAGAATCTAAGGAAGCCAGTGGGAAGTGAGCAAAGCATCTTATTCGGAAACAAGATGGGCTCACATGTGGAAGCCATTGGAACATGCACCTTAATTTTAAGTAGTGGCTTTGTTTTAACTTTGGAAAAGACTTTTTATGTACCAAGTTTTTCACGAAACTTGATTTCAATTTCAAGACTAGTATCATTCGGTTTTTCCTTCAATTTCAAGAATAAAGTTATTGATTTATTCAATAAAACTACTTTTGTTGGAAAAGGTACTTTGTCTGATGGTCTTTACCGTATTGATTTGCAAAATGATGCCACACTTAATTCATTTCATGTGCATACTGGCTCCAAAAGACCCAGTGTTGACGAGAATTCCTCTATGTTATGGCACCGAAGATTGGGTCACATCTCCATTGAAAGAATTAAGCGATTAGTTAATGATGGGGTACTTAGTACTCTTGATTTTTCTGATTTTGAAACTTGTGTAGATTGCATTAAGGGTAAGCAAACAAACAAGTTTAAAAAGGGTGCCAATAGGAGTTCAATTAAGTATATTGGAAATCATACATACTGATATATGTTGTCCAGAAATAGACATGCCGGGTCAGAAATATTTTATCACCTTTATTGACGATTACTCTCGGTATACCTATGTGTATTTGCTTCAAAATAAGTATGAAGCATTGGATGCCTTCAAGTCTTTTAAGGCTGAAGTTGAGAATCAATGTGGGAAGCGAATACAAATAGTTAGATCCGATAGAGGTGGTGAATATTATGGTAGATACACTGAAAATGGACAAGCACCTAGTGCGTTTGCTAAGTTTCTTCAAGAGCATGGGATTGTTGCCCAATACACCATGCCTGGGTCTCCGGACCAAAATGGTGTTGCGGAAAGGAGAAACCGAACGCTTATTGACATGGTGCGGAGTATGCTTAGCAACTCCAATCTTCCTAAGTTTTTGTGGGTTGAAGCACTAAAGACGGCAACGTATATTTTGAACCGAGTTCCAACCAAGGCTGTCCCTAAAACACCTTTTGAGTTATTCAAAGGTTGGAAACCGAGTTTGAAACATATGCGTATTTGGGGATGCCCGTCTGAAGTGAGAATTTATAACACACATGAGAAGAAATTGGACCCAAGGACTATTA